TAACACAGTTATCTCCAAGTTGAAGGGATTACATATAGGTACATACATGATTTACGGTAAATCAAATTTTAAGAAAATTATACATTTCTTATACCATTGTGGTAGATATTTTGGGATACTTTTTAAAAGTATTGTAAGATATTGTCTACAGTTAAAATAATTAAACGCCTCAACATATAAAAAAATAAAATCGTTTTCATTCAAAAAAAACATTAAGGGACCTCACTAACAAGTCTTTTTTTTGTCAAAAACTACTGTTTCTAATTTCAACGATACGTGTCGACAATTAAATTATCACGATTTTCATTCTGGAAATATTTAGATTGTCCATAATATATATAAGGGAACGATCGAAGCACATTTTGAATTTTGTAATTTAAATTGCAATAAAAATTGTAAAAAATTAAAAATAATTCAGTATTTAAAACCTAAATATTTAATTAACTAAATACAATTTTAAAAATGTGCCTCAGAATTGTTTTTCGTATACAATGATACTATATCATTGAATTCAAATTTCAGACTATCTATATAGTAGCCCTGCACTTGTAACCTGCATGCAGTGCAGCAAAGTGACACCCACTTAGGTACCTGCTTATTTTAGATTCTGAGCGGAGCGATGAATGTATTGGTTTTACAATGATGTGTGTTTTTATATTTTTTTTGTGTCTGTCATCACGTTTTAGGACAGTAAAAGTGATTGGATTTTCTTCATCAGTAGCTTTTCTGATAGGAAAGTGAATCTAGTTGGTACTTTGGGGGGTCAAAAGTATAAATTTCCCAGTAGTTTTCACAAGCGCCGGGAAAAACAACATAAAAATTAAGGAAAAACGGGAATTTTTACGCAAAATTGGTTTTCCAAAAAATCGATTTTGGTTATTGGTGTAACTCTAAAACAAATGAACGTATATACATGAAATTTTCACTGGTTGTTTATATTTGCATATTCTATACACGATAACATTTTCAAAATATTTTGATTTATTTTGAACTGTTTAGGGACATTTTCATTTTCCATTTTTTTTTAGTTTTTTTTCTAAAAATATCAATAAAATTTTATTTGTTGGTTGCGAAAGCTTGAAAATTTAATAGAAGGCTCCTAATATGTTGTTTCAAAGGCAGATGAAAAATATTAAAAATCCTTAGTCACAATTTTTTTTTATAAGCATTTAAAGTTCAAAAATTGACAAAATATGGAAAAATCACGAAAATTAGCAAATTATTTTGAGTTAAGAATTCGTAAAAATTTTTCTTTTTAAATCTAAGATTTGAAAATGAAACACAAGATTCCTTATAAGATTATCTACCTTTATCAATAAAAAAATCTCTACCGGACAGTCAAAATAAATTTTTATGAGCGTTTGAAATTTAAATTTTTACAACATTGGATTTTCACTCGATTACTCATGTAGCGATTTCCTTATTTTGTTGCAATTCAAAAACGAACAACTGTATACATGACTGATACATGAAAATTTCACTGAATGTTTAAATTAGCATTTTCTATACACCATACAATTTTGAAAATATTTTGACTCTTTTTGAGCTGTTTATGGACATTTACAGCTTTCAATTTTTTTAGTTTTTTTTTCTATAAATATCAATAAAGTTTTATCTGTTGGGCCAAAAAGTGTAAAAATTTAATACAAGGCTCCTGATATATTGTTACAATATCAGTTGAAAAATATTAAAAATACATAGGCATGATTTTTTTTTATAAGCATTTAAAGTTGGAATTTTGACAAAATTTATCAAAATCTCGAAAATTATCAATCGTTGGAATCAAAAAATTATAAAATGTTCAGTTTTTATAGCTAAGAGTTGAAAATTTAAAACAAAGATTCTCTTAAATAATTCATACTGTAACCAAAAAATCTAAAAAATATATAAACACACTTATTTTTACAGACATTTTAATTTCAAATTTAGACAAAATTTCATATTTAAACCAAGAATTACGATTTTAGTTATTTTGTTGTGATTGAATAATATTATTCGTGGGTACTTGAAACTTCTAAAGTGTACTATTATATATCTATGATAGTATCACGGTTTTTGTTGATGTATAACGCGTTATAAGTATCTAATGAATATTGTGATATGATTAATTTGGAATTTATTATAGGTACCTACCTATTATAGGTCAATTTTTTGTTTAATACCATAGATATGTATATAATATGTCTTATACCTACATAGACTGACATACCGTCACCGCTCAGAATCGTTTTTCTTATACAATGATATTATATCATTGAATTCAAATTTAATACCATCCATTATACAGTGACCCACTTGTAACCTACTGTACAGCAGAGCGACACCCACTTGCCCACCTTTTTTAAATTAAAATGGTGAATGCCCACATGTTTGTGTGCTGAACTAAAATATAATATTATTTGTAAATAACGAGTAAGTTATACAAAAAAATTCCCCTATTATATGTAAAACAGAGAATTATAACTAATTGGTGACTACCTAAGTAGTTGTTATTGTTGTAATATTAAAACTAATTTTATACATTTTAAAAGGTTAGGCTAACTAGGTCTCCTAAAGTACTTACTTATAAAAATTAAATCTATACAAAAAAGCTTACATAAACAAAATTATTGGGAACTTGTATGTAATATATTATTATTTTCATTATTATTATTATGATTATTATTATTATTTATTTAGTGACTGATTTTTTTAGTTTCACTAATTATTAAGACAAGTTCGAAAACATTATAAGTCCCATACTTCCGAGTAAATCCAATTTTTTGCCAGAATCTCTACCCTAGAAGTTGAAGGGACTAAAAAAGTAAAACTTTATCTGTGCCTACTTTAGTCTTTACAGTTTATATAGGTATACTATAATGGTTATATAGGTGTAAACTAAGCGATAAAACTTTAAGCCGCACCTATTAAACAATTTTTTGGAATATTTTTATGTAAAAATTTAGTACGCAATTGGCATGAATTGAACGACTAAATTTACAACTCGCATGGTATTATATTAGCAGGAAAGTGAGAAATACTTTGGGCGGGGCTGGCAAAACGTTTAACCGGCCACACCTAACTAAAATGTCAACAAGAATTTTAGAAAACACTTTTATGCCAGTATTTAGCAAACCATTACCATGGATTCGCACGATGGTTGGTTGGCGAAACGTTCGAAAGAGTTAATTGCTTTTTGCAGGTAAAGAGTGACTTGCGAATTCAGTTGACCATCGTGCGAATGCTATACTAATCACTAATGGCTTCTCAATGGCGTGCAAATATTTTACTAGGTTTGGTGCATATATCTTCGGTTGCCTTGAGTTTCAATAATACCAGTCATGAATTGTTTATAATCACTTAATGATTCATGGTTATGGTTTAAATTTTGTTCAGTGATTATGTCAACATCACCTACCGTTTTTAAAAATGTTGTGCCAGTTTTGACTATATATCGCTTACCCTCAACCGAACTTAAATTTTGAAGTGACTGAATAAAGTGAATACAATATGTACTAGCAGACTTATGCCGAATGTAGTGATAACCATCAGTTGTTGTATTACTGCAATAACAATTCTATAACGTGTTGGTATTTTTAGACAAAAATAATATTTCTGTGATATAATTTAAGAGCTAGTACACAATCATAGAGACTATGTCAACAATTTTATACATTTTACAAACGGGGCACAGCAGACACCTTAAGTTGTTCCTTTTTAACATGGATATTATAACATATAGACAAGAATATGGGTGCCGTACTGCCGTTTACATTAACCTTAGATACAAATTCGGCGCATTTTATAAAAAAAAGGGCATTTGGGTGCACTATGCTACATCTGAATATGCTGTATTTCAGACTCCTTATATTATATGATGTATACAAATTTGATATGGGCAGCTAGCGTGTTTGCCAGTGGAAGGTTGTTGTTCTCGTAAAAGACGTGACCATCTGGCTCCGAGGCTTCTAATGCTAATTTATTGATTTATTTGGAATTAGAGTATTATACTTATTACAATTATAATATTTTTATAAAATTTTATAAAATTAAAATAGTTTCCAATTTTGTTAGGTTATTTCTATTAATGTCAATTAAATTTTATTCATAGGGTCAAAAAGTGTAAAAACATTTAATATTCAAATGTTGACTAAATGTATCAAATTTAAAATTTAAAATAATTTTGTAATCAAAAATTTAGAAAATGTAAAAGATACGGATTGAAAATTTAAAAGAAGGTTCGACGTAGTGGTAAGATCTTAAAAATATAAAAACACATTTTTACTATAGTTATATTATGTTCAAATTTGGAGGAAATTACATATTAAATAACCAAGAATAGCGATTTTAGTTATTTTGTTGTAATTTTATAATATTAATTTAACTTACCGGCCACCGTATTAATAATAAGTTATAACAATACGTATAAACATAATATAAAATAATATCCACACAGATAAACCGTCTCCTCTATCGTTTTTTGTATACAATGACATAATATCATTCAATTCAAATTTTATACTATCTGTTATACAGTGACCCACTTGTAACCAACTGTACAGCAGAGCGACATGAACTCGCCCACCTTTTTTGAATGATTTTTGTATAATTTTGATTTATAGCAACTGTAATGTGGAGGATTCGCTTATAGACCTTTCCCCATGTCTCAAATGTTCTAGGTACATGTATCTATACCAATATGTACATTATACCTATAGTTATTTATAAAAAATTTTAAATGAGGAAGTAATTTTGATATTAATTAAGTAAAAATATTATTACAAAATATTTTTGGAAACAGCTTTCGAAAATATATCGTATTTTATTAGATTTATTTATTGTATTTTATAAGAACAATTGTTATATAAAAAATATGTTAAATAATTGTAATAACAAATTCAAAAATTTTAACATGAAGTGATATATCATTTTTAATCAGTTATAAAATAAATATCCTTGATAGTTTCCTTACTATCGACAAATATGTCGTTTACTGCATCTTATTATACTGCATCTTACTCTTAAAGTGTAGCGGCAACATTATTTTCTGAAATATTTTGCATTATTATTGTAGCACTGATTTGGCGTAATAATATTTTAAAATGTTTAATTTGTTCACACTAATAGATAGATTCTATAGGATTTTATGTAATAACCCAAATAATATTTCTAAGGGGATTAAGACAAAATACATACAATTTGTTCCTTCGATTAAACAAATAGTTATATGGATTTAATGTATGGAATATGGAAATGGGTGTATATTGGTTATAATTTTTATATATATCAAAAATATGTAAAAAAATGTAATAGAAAATGCAACTCATCGACCATGCAGTAGGTTCTCTGTTTAATTTAGAAAATTAACTTAAAATCTATGTTCCGGAATCACAAATTTAACATAAACAGGTCATAATACTAAACAAATTGTTCGTGTGTGTATAGATAGAATAGTGAATAATTTACTATCATACACACATATTTAGACAAACCGGCACAACTGAAAATCTTGCCTTTGAAATTGAATTTCATTAATATATAGTCTGAACACAAATTGCTTGAATAAATATAAATTGTAAAATATTATAACTTTAACATTATAAAATCTTACTTCCTGTATCATCTGATTCTACTCTCCACTCTATATCGCCTAATGGTCTGCATCCTGAAAATTAGTATTAATTAGCAGTGGCGTATGCAGGATTTTTCAATGGTGGAGGGGGAGGGACTGAAATCAGTAGTTTTTATTTTGTCCCGTCTAATGATTTCAGACGTTTATTCGAGGTATTATAAATGTTTATAACTTTAAGAAAATTTAATACAAGGTCTTCTATACAAGTAGTTCATACTTTTACCGAAAAATTACATATAATTTATGAAAATTTGTATGCAAATACGATGTTTTTTCAAAAATGAATAAATTCTGGTAAGACGTATATGAAATTTACGTCTTGCTTACTATATTTGACAGTTGAAACTTGATAAATATTTTTTTTTAAGTAATAATAATACAAATTTTAATTTTTGTTATTAAATTAATTGAAAACAAAATCACGAAAATCACATGATAATTGATAGATTTCTAATAATCTCTAGTTATATCATGTATTGTGTATAAAAAAAAAAAAAAAAAATACTTATAATGCTGAATTAATTTACATATTGTTAAGTTTCCGAAAATGTTCAGAAAATAAAATGTATGATTAATTAAAGACCTATGTGGTATGTGTGTCTGTGTGTGTGTCCATATTACCGTGGCAACCAACCCCAAGAGGAGATAGAATGTTTGTCTGTCTGTATTTGTGTCCTTTGGTTGCCATGGTTACCATGGATTTTGAAGATATTTTAATAATAATTATTGGTTGCCGGGCAAAGAGGTGCACGGGATCATTATTTGTAGCCTCGCAACGAAGGGAACGGGATTATTATTGGTTGCCGCGCAACGAAGTAAACGGGTTCATTTGCTATAGAGATATATTAGACCTCTGGGCAGAAGATTGGCTAATTTAAAAAAAGAGAGGACCATCCTCAAGTGGTGCTCAAACAGGGATTTTGAGATTTCAGATGGAATGTTTTGTATATATATGGTTGCCATGGTGAATGGTGATATGTAAAACATATTATTCATATAGAGTTGGCAATTTTAACGGGAAATGATGTGCACGGGATCAGATATTTATATATATATATATATATATATATATAGATAGATTAGACATTTGTGCAGAAGATATGTTAATTTAAAAAGGGAGAGGACCAACCCCGGGATCAGGTGCTCAAACAAAGATTTTGAGATTTCCGATGGAAATTTTTGTTTATAAATGGTTGCCGTTGGTTTCAAAGCTATAATAATAATAATTATTGGTTACCATTGGTTTAAAATTGTTGTTATGGTAACAGTTATATTATAAAAAAAACATATATTATTCATATAGAGTTGGCATTTTTAATGGGCAACGAAGTGCACGGGATCAGCTAGTTATTAATAAAACACACAATTTTTAGGAATTGAAGTAAATCGAGAAATTGCATTACATTAATAGTGCCTATTTTTATAGACTTATTTACATAAATATAATATACTATTTAAGAAATCGTTTGATTAAAACATTTTACCGATATTAATTAGTCTCATTACGTATACTTCATAGTCTTCTCCGCTTAGAGCCCGACCTGATAATTATAATAATATTATTTATTTGTTAAATACACCAAATTAATAAGTATACAAAAACTCAATTGCATAATATTAAAATGAATGTCATTCAATAAAAACTTTAATATATATATAAGTTATTTTGCATCATTAAAGAAGGGACTGGATTACTGGAACCTTACCGAAAAGAACTGGATTTGTAACTGGAACCCTTTGATTATTGGGAACCGAAACCTCAATAAATCCCTTATTTAAATTAATTTTAATACCGGAACTGCTACTGTTGCCACTAAAATAAATAGACACGCCGACCAGTGTCCGGCCGTATCAAGGTCGCGTTATCGCGTTTAACGAGATACGAGATACGAGGCGTTGTTAAGCAATCGGCGATATCTGCTTACTATGGTCAGTTATATGCAAATATCGAAAGAGCTAGGCATGCTCGTATGGGGGAGTGGGCAGATGATGCAAATGCACCACCTGAAGTTTTAATAATTTGGATTTATCAAATAAAAAACAATATGAAAATTCCTTCTCTGTTAATTTATAATTTTTGTCCTTCATTATGCCCATTGCCCAATATAGTAAAAACCTATTCTAAGAAACCGTCGTCTGTCGAACTTTAGTAGATATATTGTACAGTGATGAAGGAACGGTAATACGAAGCGTCTTTTAATACATTTTTTTGGTCATTAATGATATTATTATTAATTTCGTTAAGGGGCCTCGATACGGCTATTATTAGAGGGGCAACATTTAGGTACTTAATTTTTAATCAATTGCCATTACAATAATATAAGTTTTAATTTTTATAATGTGTTCCGTACGATCTATAGACAATTTTCAGGGGATTTCGGGTTCTCTTCAGAATAAAAATCGGACAACGTAAATTAACTTTAATTTTGTTAATAGCTATTCCTCTTAACTGTGGAACATTATTATGAGTACTGAGTAGTTATGTTTGATCCATTCATTATAATAATATAATGGTGTATACTGTATAAAAATAAAATAATATGATAGTATAATTATTATTGTACACTTATAAACCTAACATTATGAATTGTTTATTGTATTGTTATACAAATATATTCAGTGGCGTATTTTGAAATTTTTTGTGGGGGGGGGTCTAAATATTAGGTACCTACAAGTTTATAATATAAAAAAAACACATACGAGTTACGATGTAATAATTATATTATATTATATTTTTTTCTGGTGGGGGTCCAGACCCGGGGACCCCCCCGTAAATACGCCACTGAATATATTCATATTTTAATTGCAATTTAAAACAATTACATTTAATGATGAAAATTGCAATTAAAGTTTTAAAATAAACTAGTGATGAACTAGTTTAAAAAAGTTATGGCAAGAGCCGTCATAATTTTAGTCCTCCACCGTACGTCGTCTGTACTGGTGTCGTGTGAGTTTATGAATTACGAGTAGCCACAGTCAAAAGGCTCGTGCCACACATGTAATATAATACGTTACGGATATATCGTGCTTTCTGTTCGCTTTCAAGAAATCCAAAGTACTTCGGCTTGCGCGGAACCGTTCGAGGGTTTGCATTCTACGTCACGTTGTCTCGTTATCGCGGCTTCGTCCGTTCGCCCAGCACCGTGTTACGCAACCACCGTACTCCAGTACTGTACCGGGTTCTGTCAGCAGTGCCACATCGGTCAGCCGTCGCACCGTCGGCTAGTCTACAGGAAGATTGTATCTGTCTGTGCATTTTACGTACTCCAGTGTCCACCGTAGCCGCAGTCATTCACGCCGGAAAATCGCCAACATTTTCACGGCTCAACACCATCCACGTCCGTTACAGCCCAGGGCCACGTAATGTACCCATTTATTATATCATTACATATCTTATATGTATATCAGTGTATATTGACAATAAATGTAGTTGTCACTTAATTAGAATAAGCTACTCCCTGAACACTACATTGTTATTACTGATAAGGTGCTTAATTAAAACAAATTCCAGATATCTAGTGTTGTCCATCATCATAATCATTCTTTCCATTTCTCCTCACTGGCCGATCGAATGATTCCCGTACAAAAATCGGCATAATAGGAAACCGTAATTAGTATACTTCGGACCTGCTGCCCAAACAGCTACTTCTACTTTACACATTTTTTTTTACATACGTATAAAACCAGAACAAATAACAAATAACAAATTTTTATTTTTTAAGAACCGAAAAGAAACCGAAACCTAAATTTTAGTTTTACTGGTAACCTAACAGGAACCGATACCGTAAAAATCATCAAGGTTCTAGTCCCTGAATTAGAGGCTTTTTACCACTATTTATAAGATAATAAATATTGGATCTGTAGGTATACTCTGTTTAAGTTAAGAAACGTAGATATTTGGTGGTGACCAGTTTTCGTCGGCTACCAGTCACGCAAATACGCAACACCGGCCGTTTACAATTTTTCAGTGTTGTGTTGTATCTATATTTTTTTTAATATTGATTACTCAATGAAGTGTGGTTTTTTTTTGTGTGTCTATCGTCATCACTAGGGCACGGATGATGTTGCATTTGCAACTTTTTTTTTACTTTTTCAATTAATTGCTAAGTAAGTTTTAAATACGTTTCATGTAAGTACGAATTCAAATCTAAAAGATGACTCATCACCGTTTTAGGCCGTAAAACTGTTTTGATTTTCTTCAACAGTATCTTGTTCGATGGGAAAGTGAATCTAGTTGGTGCATTCTGGAGGTCAACGTTTAAAATTCAAATAGTTTTCTAAAATTCCCTCAAAAAACAACATACAAATTAAGTAAAAACGGGAATTTTTACGTAGAATCAGTTCTTTTGTTAAAATTATTTAGATTTGTATGTTAAGTACCTATTCAATTTCAATTAAATTTCAATAATGTATGAAAGACTCACAATTTTTCATCATATCATAATATTTTTGGTCAACTGAAACAAAATTATTTATAGGTACGTAGGTACTATTATATTTTAAATTATAGGTAAATTTATGTATGTAATATACTATGATAGGTACGTATAAATACTATATACATCAATATTAATTAAAAATGTATAACATTATATCATTTAATAACTAATAATCGTATTATAAACAACATTATGGTGTCTGATGTTGCTCGGTGATTGGCCTCAGTAACTAACGTATTGTGAGGTCATGCATCTGCCGACATCGCTGTATTATAGTTCCCAGATAGATGACCATTGACCACCCAGGTTTTTAGTGACGAAACATCGCCGCCCGACGTGCACGTGTTCCTCAATCAACCATTACCCCTACAAATGCTAATGGCCATAATTTCCAATGCTTAACCCGTCGTTGGTTGGTACACATATAGTTCGTAACAAGATTGCTAAGCTGTGAGCACCATTCTCACACTTTACTTTTTATATTATTATTGATAAATTAACTTAAAAAATAAACCATAAATGGAAATATGAATATTTTTATTCTTTACTAAAAAATAAAAAAATACTTTTTATGCACAGTTTATAATTTATAAAATAAAAATAAAAAACTACAATAAACCCGTGTACGTAATCGA